GAGCTCTGTAACTAAATGTGACAGACTGAGAGAAGCAGTTTATTAAGACACCAACTCCAAGTTTATTTAGTTCATAAACTCTCTCCTAGAAAATCAATACAGTCTGTACAGGGTTATTAGGCTGACTAGCTAATACATCCAAATCTGGTCTTTCCAAGCAGAAATCTTGGCCGGAATGCTACAACCTTACAAGAAATCTAAGCACATTCAGATTGTCGTATCAAAGCAGAACCACCACTTCATCGTCAAACGCATGACTTCTACATCACAGCCCAAGAACATTTTAAAGAAAGAGATACTTCTCCCTTGCTAACTAGCGTTGCAGAGAATAGAAACAAAATCCAGTATGCCAGTTCCACTCCAGCTCTGGTCATCCTTAAATTTACGGTGCTTACACAGCACCTAGTTTAGCACAATAATGCCAGCATATAAATCCAAAAAAACAAATACTTACTGAATTTCAAACAGGGACATGAAAAGTAGAAGCTACTAAGGAGATAAAAAAGTAATCACTGGAGAAAAACACAACAGAATTAACACCTCCTACAGCAGTGGGATAAGCCTCCTCTGAGTGTACAGCAATATGTGGGGAAAAAGGACACCAAAACCAAACCAAAACAAACAAACAGAAAAAGAAAATTAAAAAAAAAAGAAAGAAAGAAAGAAAAAGAGAAAGAAATACAAAAAGAAACAAAACTGAGAAGAAATTTAAGAAAAACTGTAATAATCAGAATCCAGGCACAGAACACACTGCTTTCCTTTGCAATCTATTGCCCTCTGTTTATTGTTGTAACTCCTTTGGAGGCAGAAGTATTCTTCAAACCATCTGTGGGAAGCACGGGAACTACTTGTTAGTACACAAGTTTGGCACAAACTGAGTAGAACAGTATTTTTTTCTCTTCCTTTTGGCTGGTTCATGTGAGAATCAGAAAGAGGACAGACAAGGTAAGGGCTCTAACAGCATTTAAAACAAATCCTTTTAAAAGCATTAAAGAAAATCTCATTTTCAATAGATTTTTAATCAGGAATATGTTCTGCAAGTATTTTACTGCTATCCAATGGCATTTGTGCTGAAAGATAAAAGGATCTGTGAAATTATTTTACATTTTCAGCTCAGGGGAATACTCGGGTGCTGAACGGAAGAGGTGGCTACAGAATCCAGGTCCTAATGGAACTTAAAACGCAGTGCAATTGCAGTTGTCTGCTTGTGTTTTAGAGAATTTGAGCTGTTTTGTAAACTGTGTGTGAGATTAAGACTGTTTTGTTTTTGGTTTTTTTTTTTCCTTTTCAACTTGCTATTTACTATCAATGGCAATTACATTACAGGTGTGTTTTGTGGATTTTTTTTTAAAAAGCAGCCCTGCCGATTTCACCTTTTCTCTTAAAACTAACAGTACAGAAGTGCATCGCATGGCACAAAAGGCTAGGAAAGGTGAGTGCAGAAAGCTCAGGTAGTGCCAATAGGAAAACCTATTCAGAAGAATGTGCTGAACAATGTAAATGCATCATATTTTTTCTAGGTTCCATTACTACGTTCCTTTAAGTGTTAATTAGTTCAGTCAGAGGGTTAATAAAACAGTTCAAAATGACTAAACATCGAAAAAATATTTTCTTCTTTTTGTTCCAATTATTCAGTATTATTAATTAAGCTGTTAAAACATGCAACAGTTACTATCTTTTTAATGTTCAATAATATGTAAACTCTTTAAAGAGATTTTTGTTCCACGTCTCTGCTTTAGATATTAATCAAGAAAATAATTACTGAGGAATTTAGTAAAAAAAAAATCTACAGGCATATAACTATGTACTGTACATGTACATTCAATGAGGTCCAATTAGTTGGAAAGAATTTGCATTTCAGTTAGTATGAGCTAACAAGACTGTGGGGAGACAATGCAATTCTACTAGCAGGGCAAGAAAGAATGGTGTTTTCCTGTAAGCATTAATTCCCATAACTGATCATTTTAAAATGTTACTGATCTTTACACTATTTGTTTTTCTAACATCTAGGAGCTCAGTATAAATGTTTATATTAACTGTACATGCAGCAGTGTCCTTCAGACTACTCCTGGGGAAAAAAAAAATGAAGATAAAACAGTAATCCCAGCTTTATTTATTATTTCTGTTGATTTGGTATTTACATTTCTTTTTAATGATAACTGTCAATTGATTATTTTAAAGAAGTGTTCCTTCACATGCATGTGGTGTTCCCTCTACAGATTCATTAAGGATATGAGGGAAAAGATCAGAAAGTCTTCACATCTTTTTATGTAAGTATTCCAGTTTTCAGTGCCAAAGATATGTACACACAACATACATAGTAAGTTGACCTCCCATCTGCATACCCCATGTTCCTAAATCTCTGCACCCTTGACTGGCTTACGGGACAGTACCTGTGATTCCTAGAGTTCATTTTGCAGCATGTTAACAGTTTCTATAATTTGTAATGACAGTAAACTGCCCTTTGCTCTTCCCTTATTCACTATTCATTTCCAGGCTT